GCCTATCATGCGTCGAGGCTGTACGTCTATCATGGGTCGAGACTGTACATCTATTATGGATCGAGGCTGTAGTCTATCATGGGTCAAAACTGTTCGCCTATCATGCGTCGAGACTATACGTCTATCATGGGTCGAGACTGTACGTCTATCATGGGTCGAGGCTGTACGTCTATCATGGGTCGAGGCTGTACGTCTATCATGGGTCGAGACTATACGTCTATCATGGGTCGAGACTGTACGATTATCATGCGGCGAGACTGTTCGCCTATCATGTGTCGAGACTGTACATCTATCATGTGTCGAGACTATACGTCTGTCATGGGTCAAGACTGTACGTTTATCATGGATCGAGGCTGTAGTCTATCATGGGTCGAGACTGTTCGCCTATCATGCGTCGAGACTATACGTCTATCATGGGTCGAGACTGTACGTCTATCATGGATCGAGGCTGTAGTCTATCATGGGTCGAGACTGTTCGCCTATCATGCGTCGAGACTATACGTCTATCATGGGTCGAGACTGTACGTCTATCATGGGTCGAGACTGTTCGCCTATCATGCGTCGAGACTATACGTCTATCATGGGTCGAGACTGTACGTCTATCATGGATCGAGGCTGTAGTCTATCATGGGTCGAGACTGTTCGCCTATCATGCGTCGAGACTGTACATCTATCATGCGTCGAGACTGTACGTCTATCATGGGTCGGGACTGTATGTCTATCATGAGTCGAGACTGTACCTCTATCATGCGGCGAGATTGTACGTCTATCATGGGTCAAGACTGTACGTCTATCATGGATCGAGACTGTACGTCTATCATGCAACGAGACTATACGTCTATCATGGGTCGAGGCTGTACGTCTATCATGCAACGAGACTGTACGTCTATCATGGGTCGAGGCTGTACGTCTATCATGAGGCGAGACTGTACGTCTACCATGGATAGAGACTGTACGTCTATCATGCAACGAGACTGTACGTCTGTCATGCAACGAGACTGTTCGTCTATCATGCGGCGAGACTGTACATCTATCATGGATCGAGACTGTTCGTCTATCATGCAACGAGACTGTACGTCTATCATGCGGCGAGACTGTACGTCTATCATGGGTCGAGACTGTACGTCTATCAATCAACAAGACTGTATGTCTATCATGCAACGAGACTGTTCGTCTATCATGCGGCGAGACTGTACGTCTATCATGGGTCGAGACTGTTCGTCTATCATGCAACGAGACTGTACGTCTATCATACAACGAGACTGTACATCTGTCATGCGTTGAGACTGTACATCTGTCATGCGTCGAGACTGTACATCTCTCATGCGTCGAGACTGTACATCTGTCAGACGTCGAGACTGTACATCTGTCAGGCGTCGAGAATGTACATCTGTCAGGCCTCGAGAATGTACATCTGTCAAGCGTCGAGAATGTACATCTGTCAGGCGTCGAGAATGTACATCTGCCAGGCGTCGAGACTGTACATCTGTCATGCGTCGAGACTGTAAATCTGTCATGCGTCGAGACTGTACATTTGTCATACGTCGAGACTGTACATCTGTCATGCGTCGAGACTGTACATCTGTCATACGTCGAGACTGTACATCTGTCATACGTCGAGACTGTACATCTGTCATACGTCGAGACTGTACATCTGTCATACGTCGAGACTGTGCATCTGTTATACGTCGAGACTGTGCATCTGTCATGCGTCGAGACTGTACATCTGTCAGGCGTCGAGAATGTACATCTGTCAAGCGTCGAGACTGTACATCTGTCAGGCGTCGAGAATATACATCTGTCAATCGTCGAGAATGTACATCTGTCAAGCGTCGAGACTATACATCTGTCAAGCGTCGAGAATGTACATCTGTCATACGTCGAGACTGTGCATCTGTCATACGTCGAGACTGTGCATCTGTCATGCGTCGAGACTACATCTGCCAGGCTTCGAGAATGTACATCTGTCAAGCGTCGAGACTGTACATCTGTCAGGCGTCGAGACTGTACATCTGCCAGGCGTCGAGAATGTACATCTGTCAAGCGTCGAGAATGTACTTCTGTCAGGCGTCGAGAATATACATGTCAAGCGTCGAGACTGTACATCTGCCAGGCGTCGAGAATGTACATCTGTCAAGCGTCGAGACTGTACATCTGTCAGGCGTCGAGAATGTACATCTGCCAGGCGTCGAGAATGTACATCTGTCAAGCGTCGAGACTGTACATCTGTCAAGCGTCGAGAATGTACATCTGTCAAGCGTCGAGACTGTACATCTGTCAGGCGTCGAGAATGTACAGCTGTCAAGCGTCGAGACTGTACATCTGTCAAGCGTCGAGACTGTACATCTGTCAAGCGTCGAGAATGTACATCTGTCAGGCGTCGAGACTGTACATCTGTCAGGCGTCGAGACTGTACATCTGTCAGGCGTCGAGACTGTACATCTGTCAGGCGTCGAGACTGTACATCTGTCAGGCGTCGAGACTGTACATCTGTCAGGCGTCGAGACTGTACAGCTGTCAAGCGTCGAGACTGAACATCTGTGCAGGCGATCGAGACTGTACATCTGTCAAGCGTCGAGACTGTACATCTCTCAAGCGTCGAGACTGTACATCTGTCAGGCGTCGAGACTGTACATCTGTCAGGCGTCGAGACTGTACATCTGTCAAGCGTCGAGACTGACATCTGTCAGGCGTCGAGACTGTACATCTGTCAAGCGTCGAGACTGTACATCTGTCAGGCGTCGAGACTGTACATCTGTCAAGCGTCGAGACTGTATATCTGTCAAGCGTCGAGACTGTACATCTGTCAAGCGTCGAGACTGTACATCTGTCAAGCGT